ACTGCACGAGCACTGAGAACCGCCCGAGCCGCCCGTGCTCATGCTGCAGCTGCACGCCGTCGATCCCATTTCAGAGGTTTCCCCGTCGACGCTTAATCTCCTTTCGCGGCAGTCGTAGGCCGGCACGCGAGGGTAGTCCTTCCGTCCATACGCACTATCGCAGTGGTGGCCCCCGTCCCGCCTGCGCTGGGGGACGTGTGACGGAGAGCCCTTAGCCGGGTGGTGCGCGTAACCGCCTCCTCGGGCACTGCTAACGGCACCCATCTTCACATATATTCACAAACACCTACAGATGACGTGCAATAATGGCAATGTCAACAGCATACCATTTTCACGATGACGCTTGGATCACAGAGTTTGCAAGTCAATGTATACAATTTGGAAAATGACCTGTAATGATGTGCCATTGCATATTTTGTTCCAGTGGTTCATATAAAAGTTGACAATGTCGATGCAAATATTGGGTATACAAAATTAACTAAAATCTCATTCTTGGTAAGATATAATATAAAATGATATACAAATCTAATAAATAACAAAAGATGTATCTATCTAACTATCTATTTATCTGTCTGTTTGTCATTGTATGTCTATCTGCCTATCTATCAATCTATTTCAGTCTATGTATCTATCAATCTATTTATCTATCTTCCCTATCAACTATCTATCTATCCATAAATTTATCTATGTATCTATCTAAACTCCCCCCCCCCCCCCCCTCTCTCTCTCTCTCTCTCTCTCTCTCTCTCTCTCTCTCTCTCTCTCTCTCTCTCTTTCTTTCTCCTACTCTTTCTCTCTCTCTCTCTCTCTCTCTATATATATATATATATAAACCCCTACAATACTGCAAATGCAAAAATGTTGATATTTTAAACTTTAAAGTTGGTCCTGATGACCACGTTGACCAAATCCACTAACTAAAAATGGAGGGAGTGATATCAATACTTACTAACAATAACAACCCGACTACTGTAAAAAACTAATTCTAAACAGATATAAGCAAGCAATACATTGATAATAGTGTTATTGACGATGATTATCACAGCTGTCTGATCTGATGGCCTGAATTGTTATGATCTGCCTCTCAACACTCGCATGTCAAAAATAAACTTCGGGAAGCGAATGGATGAGGCTTTTTCTATTCCAAGAGCAGGCTGCCTTGAAAGCAAAAGCGACTGAAAACCTTTATAGTCATCACTAACTGTTTAAAAAAAAATGGTCTTCCAACACTTTAAAATAATATCATGATGTCATTTCCTTGTAAGCTGACGTTTCTGTCTACACACGCTCGTATAAAACTCTATCATTAAATGCGATCTCTACACTCGAGACACACTGAAGAACACCGATCAATCTCTCTTCAAATCAATAATCAACAAGATCATCTATATATAACAATAACATCCCAGCTTAGTCACTCGCTGATCATCACCAAAAATAAGACATGAATCCATCTTCAGCGCCACATGCTAAACACAAGGCCAAAACTGCCGCACTGTAGCATGATCACAGCGTTCACACAGGCAACACTTCCTCAGCCCAACACATACACACACACACGCAAGAAGGGAGGGAAGACCCGTAGGACTGTGCGAGTGAGTGCGTTAAACTGCGGCCGCCGCCATCCCTCGTACACAGGGCCGAGCATGTGTACCGTTGTTTCACCGGCGCCATATGTTGCGTTTTTGTTTTTCCTCGGTCTCCCGCCTCCGGAGCTTTTGTCATAGTGTGGTCTAGTTGCTTAGGCAGTGGGAAGTAGGTGTTCGAGCCGGAATGTGGGACAGCGAAGGGGCATTGTCAATATAAACACATGCTGTTATTCCGTCGATCCCATTCACCTGTTTCGCAGAAATTCAACAGGTGGTAATCAAGCTGATTTTCAACGATTCACGATTTGCTAGGTGATATCATTTATGTTGTGTTAAGCCGTAAGAATCAATTAGCCTATATTTCGATCATAAAGACAAACTCTCACACACAAAAATAGCAACAAATAAATCAACATTATCCAGTTACGCCTCTCGCGAAGAATTTCCATGATAAGCATAAATATTACGGAATTCTTCGCCCTCTTGCAGATGTCTTATTGCCGATTACGTAAGCATCACAACAATATAAACTCGTCGGCAGTGCCACCAGATGGATATAAACGCCATCTATATATATATATATATATATATATATATATATATATATATATATATATATATATATATATATTTATTTATACACACACACACACACACACACACACACACACACACACACACACACACACACACACACACACATATATATATATATATATATATATATATATATATTTATACACATACACACACACACACACACACACACACACACACACATATATATATATGTATGTATATACATATACATATATATATATTTATTTATTTATACACACACACACACAAACACACACACACACACACACACACACACACACACACACATATATATATATATATATATATATATATATATATATATATATATATATATATTTATTTATTTATACACACACACACACACACACACACACACACACACACACACACACACATATATATATATATATATATATATATATATATATATATATATATATATATATATATATATATAATGCACACACACACATATTGTGTGTGAGTGTGTGTGTGTGTGCGTGTGTGTACATGTATACATATATATCCATATACCTTTTTATTTTCGAGATGATAATCCTTTGCTTTTTCTCTTTCCTTTTTTCTCTCATTTTTCTTTTTACGGAAGCCTAATCCACAAGGTGAAATAACTGGTTCTCTAACTTATTTAGCTAATTGCAGACCTCCAGGATTTACTCTAAGATACAGTTAGTGACGAGGTTGAAGATGTGACCAAAACATGAAAAGAAAAATCGTCTAAGTTTGTATTATATTTAACAATTTCTCATAGTCTTGTTGTCGATCTTTTGCGTTCATTTAACTTCAAATTATTAATATAAGTGTTTTTATTATTATTTACTTGACTATAAACATCATCTTTTAACGTTATCAAAATACTAATTATCGGAAGTGATTAATGGGCAGCACGTACATAAGTTAAAATTTCAACATCGTTTTGTTCTTGAAAGTTGAAAACGTTTTTTTTTTTTTCTGATTTACCCCTATATCAGTTGAAAGCGTTTTTTTCTTTTTCTTATATAACCCTATATCATTGTGACGTATTGCAGAAGCGTTTCGCCGAGCAACAAAACCAGCTGTTAATCACCTGTCCGGAGATAAAATACTGAATTACACAAAACAGTTTACGTCGAGACTGTGATGCTAATCAGATGTTCACTCCATATTAAGAACGCGCACAGACGCGGCACACTTTTCAATTCTCAACATCTGGCATTGCGGTGCCATGCTTACCTGGGACGTAAGTTTGTTTGTTTGTTTGTTGTGAGGGAGTGAGTGAGTGTGTGTGGGAGTGCGAGTTTAAATATGAGTGTGAGTGTGAGTGTGAGTGTGAGTGTGAGTGCGAGTGTGCGTTTACGTATGCGTGTGCGTTTACGTATGCGTGTGCGTTTACGTATGCGTGTGCGTTTACGTATGCGTGTACGTTTCCGTATGCATGTGGGTTTACGTATGCGTGTGCGTGGAGGTATGCGGCTTTCTGCGCGCATATGTGCATTTGCATTAGCATATGCTTGTACGGGTTCGTGTGAGTACGCAACCCTAAAGATCACAGGTGTGCATCATTGAGCTCAAGTGTTGCCGCAACACCTGACCAAGACCAGAATGAGAAGCCCCGTTTTCGAAAGGAAACTCTTAATAAAGAGACTGACAAACTCTAAATCAAAACACGCAATCCCTTCCATCCCGTTCCAAGGCAAATAAAAAAATAAATAAAATAGAAAGGAAAGAGTTACATGAATATCAGTTACTTTATCCATAAAATCAAAGTTGGTGGAATCCATTAATAAAATTAGTAAACAAAATAAACAAAAAGTTTTTTTTCTTTAATGAAAAAAAAAAAAAAAAATCTTTCGTAAACCAAGATTTTTTTGCGCATATTAATCAACATCTGTCAACACTTTCTTTCGCAAACCAGGATTTCTTCCTAAATTAAGATTTCATTTCATGAAACAAACAAACAAAAAAAACGTAAAGGAAAACTCCCAAACCAATTTTTTTTTCGTAAATCAAGACTTACTCTCCTAAATCAATAATTTCTTTCATAAATCAAGATTTTCCTTCATAAATTAATACTTCTTTCTAAACCAAGGTTTTCTTCTTTAAATCAATTGAAACTTTTCCCTAAACCAAGAGAAACTTTCCTAACCTTTTTTTTCGTAAACCTAAAACTTTCTTCTAAACCAAGATTTTCTCTTTTAAAGCAAGACACTCTCTCCCAAACCAAAAATTCCTAAACCAAGACTCTTTTTTTCCTAAACCAAAAGTTTTCTTTCCCAAAGTAACCAAGACTTTCGTGTCTAAATCAAACTTTCTCTCCTAAACCAAGAACTTTCTTTCCTAAACCAAGACACTCTCTACCAAAGCAACCAAGACTTTCATCACTAAACCAAGATTTTATTTTTCGTAAACCAGAATTTTCTTTTCCAGAGTAACCAAGACTTTCAAATCTAAACTTTTTTATTTTTGCATACCAAAATGTTCTTTCTCAGAGCAAGCAAGACTATCTAAACCAAGCTTTCTCTCCTGAACCAAGAATTTTCTTTCCTAGAGCAAGACATTCTCCAAACCAAACTTTCCTTAACCTACACTTCCTTTCCGAAATCAACCAAGGATTTCGTATCAAACCATGTTATTATCTTTTTCTTTTTCTTCTTTTTCTTCTTCTACTACTTCTTCTTCTTCTTCTTCTTCTTCTTCCTCCCCCTTCTTCTTCTTCTTCTTCTGCTTCCTTTTTTTCTTTTTCTTTTTTACCAAGACTTTTCTTTCCCCCTACAAGAACGAACGAAACGAGTCGAGTGATCAGCCACTTACCTTCCTGCTGAGCGGGTTCAGGGGCACCTCCTGCTGGCGCTGCTGGCGAGCCTCCTGCTGGCGCGGACAGACCCACCTTCTCCAGCCTCGCTACGGCGGTCTCCAGCCGGTTCACTAAGGATGCTAGCTCTGTCGCCATGATCTCCAATTCTGGTGAGGGGAAGGAAAGAAGACGAAAAGTGAGAGAGAGATACAATGAAACACGTACGTGTGGAAATAAATTTGTAAGAGAGAGGAGGGAGAAGAGAGGAGAGAGGGAGGGAGGAGAGAGGGGAGAGGAGAGAGGAGAGAGAAGAGAGGAAGGGGGAGTGGGAGGGAGGGAGGGAGGGAGGGAGGGAGGGAGGGAGGGAGGGAGGGAGGGAGAGAGAGGAGAGAGGAGAGAGCAGAGAGGAGAGAGGAAGGGGGAGTGGGAGGGAGGGAGAGAGGGAGAGAGAAGAGAGGAAGGGGGAGTGGGAGGGAGGGAGATAGAGAGAGAGGGAGAATTCTGACTATTTCTAATCCCATTCTGAACGCTACGTAATCAAAAGGTTGTTACACTAAGAATGCTATTCATAGGCCTATTTGTCCACCCTAATACTATTAAAGTACCCCATTAAAATAAACACACACACACACACACATTCACCCCCACATTCACTTACTCAGCCATTCATTCATCCATTCACTCACTAACACACCCATCCATTCACTCACTTACCCATTTATTTACTTATTAGCACACCCACCCTTTCATTTACTAACATTCACCCATTCACTAATACTCACTCCCTCATTCACTTACACACCTATTCACTAACACCCTCACTCACCCATTCACTAACACACTCACTCGCCCATTCACAAACACACTCACCCATTCACTAACACACTCACTCACCCATTCACTAACACACTCACTCACCCATTCACTAACACACTCACTCGCCCATTCACTAACACATTCACTCACCCATTTATTCACTAACACACTCAATAACCCCCTTATTCACTAACACTCACTCACCCACTTAATTCGCTAAAACACACACTCGCCCATTCACTAACACATTCACTCACCCATTCACTAACACACACACTCGCTCATTTATTGCCTAACACACACACTCGCCCATTCACTAACACACACACTCGCCCATTTATTCCCTAACACACTCACCCGTTCACTCACTGACACACTCACCCATTCACATCAATATCAATTTCCACGTCTAAAGATCGTTCCCGCGCCCCATTCCAAACCCCATCACAGTCTCGGCGACGAAAACGACTTTCGCAACGACATTATTACCTATGCGCTTTAACTGGGGAGTCGGGGGGTGGGGGTGGGGTAAAGAGGGGAGAGGGGAAGAGAGGGAAGGGAAGGGGAGAGGGGAGGAGAAAGAAAAGAAGAGGGGAGGGGAAAGAAAAAAAGAGGGGAGAGGGAAAGAGAGAAGAGGGAAGAGGGGAGGAGAAAGAGGAGAAGAGGAAGAAAAGAAGAGGGGAGAGGGGAGGAGAAATGGGAAAGGGGAAGAGGAAAGGAGAGACGAGAAGGAGGAGGGGGATGGATAGGGGAAGCGGAGAGCGGAGAAAGGGGAAAGGGTAAAGGAAAGAATAGACGGGGATGGGTATGGATAGGGGAAGAAGGGGGGGGGGGAAGAGGGGAAGGTTGGGTCGAGGAGAAGAGAGAGGGGAGGAGGGAGAGGGTAAAGGAAGAGAGAGGGAAAGGGAGGAAGAGCGAGAGTGAGGGGAAAAAGAGAGAGAGAGAAGGGAAAAGGAACACCACGGACGTGTAAAGGAAAGCAAAGAAAGCGAAAAGGAGAGAAAGGGGGAAGGGAAGAGAAGAGAGAAGTACGGGAAGGGGGGGGAGGGGGAAACTAGAAAGGAGGAGGAGAGGGGGTAGGGGAGAGGGGGGGAAATCAATACCACACGCGGCAGTCATGCAAAGGGCGCCTCGTTTAAAATTGCAGGGCAACACGGCCTCCGCGGATAGGACCCTGTCAGTGCATGCAACAGGGGAAATTATTTAGTGTTTATCAGTCAGGTGAAATGAAAAAAACTCAAAATATATACAGAAGAACATATAAATTGTATTCGTGTGACATTTATACTTATATTTAGAATTATTCACGTTTTACTTCTTGTTGTTGAGAGTAAAACTTTGGAAGTAAATGGTGAGATGATGGTGATGGTGATGATGGTGATGGTGATGATGATGATGATGAAGATGAAGATGCCAATGATGATACTACATGGCATGATAATAACAGATCATAACTGTTTAATAGAACAATGACTACGATAATTATCTAAAATATGCAAAACAAACATCCCAAACAACAACCGCAAAAAAATATATTACATAACTGTCTACCGGCCACGAGCTCAAAGCACAGAGGTCTCAGCCACAAACTTGGTCATGTACTGTACTACCGAGTCCGCCCGCTATCTCACGGCAGTTCTGGTGAGGCGCCCACGGCTTAAACTGTTCCCATATGTGACTAATCGGCTGCACACATACGAA